TCTCTTCATTTGATGTTCTAGGGTTTCAGGATTGTTGATTCTCTGTTTGGCTTAGTTTTTCGGGTCTTTGTTGTGGAGGGACGGCGTGGTGTTTCTGCCTAGAGCGCCATCTTGCCGGAAGTCTCGTGTATGTTTTTAACAGTCCCTGAACTATTAGAAGATTGGGAAGATTCTGTAAATACAGGAAAAGAGAATGGTGCAAAGTAGAGGATGTAGTCAAAGTTCTCCAGTGTCATAATCCTGCACGTGCAGAGTTTCTAGAAAACTAAAGCTGGGTTGTTTTCCCAACAGTGGAAACTCCATGGTCTGGTCCCCTCCATATAACAGTGCCTTGTCTGTAAACTGCTCCACAGACATCTAGGTCGCCACCTTATGTGAGAGAAAGAGAATCAGGGGGACCTCTACCACCATATACACTCTCATGGTGAGGTGGCTTTATTGTCCATGTCAAACATCGGAATGATGTTTGCAAACTGTCCGAATCTGTGCACTGCAGGGTTTTTAAATAAGGTGCCTGTTTTTCCGTTGCTTTCAAATTTTCTTTCTTTTTTTAATGCCATAAAACATTTTAACGTGCCAAACCAAGTGGATTTTTTTAGCTGCCTCAACTCTGCCACCCTCTTGTGTTTGTTGGTTGCCATTTTTTTACAGCATTCTTTTTTTTTTTTTGGTCCATCTGACATGACTCTGTGGTTTATTTTGTAGTTGTAGGTTCTAAAAGTCAGATCAGCTTACTTGTAAATATATTTTCGCCCCAAATTGTTTTCCTATTCACCGCATTATTGTATCCAACAAATCTTTCCGTGGTGAGAACTGGTGAAAGTGATCATTCATGGTCTTAAGGAAGTTTTACTTCTATTGCAAAACCTGTTCCATAGGATCACAATTTTGATTTATAAATTCATATTTGGGATATTTCCATATTTTCCAATACCTGTTTTGACACATGATCTTAGTAATTTTCTCTCCAGGAGTTTGCCGACTCCTTTGTTGCAAATTTCACAGCAGTTATTTTGACACTGACTATCTGATATGGCCATTTCCCCTATAATGCAACAGTAGTTTAACATACAGAGTACAACTCTATAGAGCTGGTAACTTTTAGGAAGGTATTATTAGCAAAATGCATGTAGTAAATGCTTTTATGAAAACTATATTCATGCAATTTGATTTAGCATGCTCAGTTGTCATCTCCTTTTATCCATAATTTCTCTTTGCACAAAATACCTTAGAACCATATTTCCCTGTGAGTAATCTACTTTTCAAAAATGTGTATTCTGTTTTTTAACTTAATTAAACTTGAATGCCCTTTCAGTGGTGATGCAGTCACCGTTACTAAGAGACTTTATTCTTCATCTGTTACAGACCTCAAAGTTCGCCTTAGAATGTCTCATCTTTTATAGATTGTTGACAGGTGCTATTTCCTCACATAATTTTGAGGGCACTCAATCGTACC